CACCGCCGGCTGCGGCAGGGCGAGCTTCTTGTATCCTCCCGCTCGAAGGAGTGCGGGTTAAATCCCCTCCGAAACACCGCTCCCTTCGCCTAACTCGAGCGAGTCCAGCCCGGACTCTGCGCGGGGTCTTGCGAAGGGAAGTTAATGCCAGAGCTCTTCGTTCCCCCTGCGCTGGGGAGCGGGGCTGAAACTCTCTTTTGTAGGTCTGACCGCTTGTTCAGAAATCCACCGACGCGCGTACAGGCAGAGCTACACCCCGCGAGGTGCCGACAGCACTTTTTAGCCCCGCTAGATCGACCTAGCGAAAAGGCGGTCAGCCTCCGCTCCTCCTTTCCCGCCCCGAAGGAACCGTAACGGGGCGAGCCAAACCGCCGACAAGGGGCGAGAGGGCTTCTTCCCTGCCGCCCTGTCCCCTCCGCTCACCCTTTTTCTCTCAAACCCTCCACCCGAGTTTCGCCTGCCAGAGCTGGCTCCCCGCAGCCCGCGGGGAGGGCGGCCGCCCCGACGGGGGCCTGCCTAGGCTGCCTCTAGTGATGTGTTCGTTTACCTGGTGATGCTGCTTAGTAAAACGCTCGAGTTAAAAGGAAATGCTAAGGAGGAGAGCAGGGAAGATGAGATGCGTTTTGCCTGGTGGAAGCATTTTCATGAGAAAGGCACGGTCTTCACCCCGTGTTTGCAGAATGCGGCTACACGGACGTCCCTTCAATAGCTTCTGACCCCACACAATCCGTTTGATAACACTCGAGAGGTGGAAGAATGGGAGACTTTGTCAATCAAATGGTGCCAATCCCAATGGAAACGGTGCCACCAAGACCGCAGCGCGTTTCCTCATCAACTGGATTGCGGGGGCTGGGAACTCAAGGATCAGCTTTTGAAAGTGCGCACAGGGCTCTCCAAAGACAACAATGTCTTTTTTATACGAGCTGCTGTGCCTCCCCAAGGGGAACCAAATGTGCTCGGCCAGTCCGAGCCGCCCAAGGGCTACAGCTCTGCCTCTGCCACCCATTTCGCCGGGCAGGAGCCGCGGCGGGGGGAGGAGGGCATTTCTGCCTGGTCCGCCGCCTAACTCGGCTCCTTGCCCCAAATTGCTTCTCCCCTCCTTTAGGCACTTGCAGCTCCCACGGTGGCTCCGCGCCGTTCCTCCGCAAGCAGAGCCCACGCAGGAGCGCGACGCCCATTCAGCGCAGCAGCGCTTAAGCCTGTGCTGAGCCGGGACCGGCCGGCTGGGCTGGCTGAAAACCTCGGGGCGCCTGGACTCGGAGGGGAGAGGGGAAGGGTCCCACGCAACCCGCAGGCAGGTCCTTTCTCAAGGAGAGAGGCACTTTCCGGGCGTAACTTTTTGATACAAAGGCACGAGGTGCTCCGTGCTCCCCGTGGGCCG